CAACTTTCTTATAGACTGCCATTTGTGATGCCTTACTCATATGTTGAGGTTTATCTTTCTTTTATTTTATGATCAAGGCACATTCTTTATTTGTTCATTCAGGGACAAAGATACCCAGAGCAAAGATGCTTCACTTATAGAATTTGAGAATCAGGTTTGAGTATCTTTTTTTGTTGAAGCTATTATATTAACTTGACTAGAGTATATCACTAGTGGTTTCTCAAATTTGATTATGAAAAGTCATTAGTATTTTACTTGCTCTTCTGGCTTGCCTCTTAACATTATGTAACCTTTCTTGCGAATTATTGACAATTACTATACAAGAATTGTGACTTCTGTTAGTCTTTTTGTTAAGAAAGAAAAAAAAGACATTATCTCACTCTTGAATTGCATCCTAGATATTCTTTTATCCTAGATCATTCATGAATAATATTTTTAGACACATTTCAATTCCTTTAGCCTTTGTTTTTTCTCTTTTATTTGTGTCTTTTTCAATTTGCACTTTTCTGGCAAAATATATTACAAATTGATATGTAGCTCATTTTTTCGTCATTTTAAAAATAAAAAATTATCATATTAAGAATATAGGTTTGTCAAGAGGAAGCCTACCTTGTTGGAGTTTAATGTAAAGGCATTGAATTATCAACATCATTATTTGCTGTTGATGAATCACTTGAAGAATTTGCACAATTAGCTCATGCTGTTACACTTGCCAAAAGTATGTTTCTATTTCCCCCATTGATCATGATGCAGCAAATAGTTCTATGGTTGCTATAAATGTGCATTTCTAGAGGTCTAGAATCTAGGAGTATATTATTGCTTTGGCAGTGTCATTGAATGATGAAATTCAGAAAATATATCTTTCTAAGGTATCTTTCTGACTTGAACTCCATTCTTTAATCTTACATAGGAAATATTTGATTGATGTCGCTTATCTAGTCCTACATGACATGTCATATTTAGTAATTTATGCATCTTTTTATATATGTCTCCTTCAAGATTCATAAAAGTCATCCAGTGTTGTCAACAACACTAACAGGTGAAGACATCATGGATAGCTATTGTCATCCATTAAGATGTTGTATGATTGGTTATATTTATTGGGGTTGTATAATGTTGAGTTTTTCAATGATTGTGATTTAAATTCAAATAGTTACAATCGTAGTTGCTTTCTATCTGGCTGAATAAGCTTTGGTGTTGGCGGCTTCTTTGGTTACGTTAATGTCTCTTAAAGCTAGGGAATTGGGTTAGAGAAATAAAAAAAAAAATCAGAGAATCTCAAAAAGTCTGAAATTATGAAAGCAAATGTAATTTTCAAATTTTTTTGTGCCCTTAAATAGAAATATTAAATGCAAAGCTACCTTTTTTGTGATCTTGGAGTTCTCTCTTGGTGGTTGTTATTCGTCATATTCTTGAGAAGGATTAGTGACCATATGACACTCCTATAATATGGGCTATTTGCTTTCTCCTTTTCAAAATTTCTATGGAATAGTACAACCAAAATTTAATGATCTATAAATTCTTCTCAATCTTAGATTTTTTCTAATTGAGTGTGTTTGTTCTGGCGAAATTAGGGAGTAACTTATTGACCAGATGACACTCTTATAATTTGGGTCGTTCCATTCTCGTTTCCAAAATTGCTGTGGAATAGTATAACCAAAATTTAATGATCTATAAACTCTCCTTGACCTTGGGTTTTTCCCAATTGAGTGTGTTTGTTCTGATGAAATTAGAGAGTAACTTATTAATGGTTTTATTCTCTTCATTTCTTGGGTAACCACAATTGCGATATGTAGAATGAATTTTCTTCGTTGTCAGGTCTTATGCTGTCTAGTTTGAACTTACAGTAGCTTTCTAGAGTGCTTGTAATCAAGATTCTAGTTATGCTAACTGATCCAAAGTTTTGTTTAGGCTTGCTTATTGAAATCAAAGGCTTCATATTGGCTCTAGAAAGGGTGCTGAAGCCAAGTGTGCAATCCAAGCCCTTGATATTGAATGTGTAATTTTATCAGGAAGAAGTTCTTATGCATTTATGATATAATTATTATGTAGTCATTAAAGCTCTCTAATGTTGTATTTTATATTGCTTACTATGCTTTAACTAAAATGACTTTACTCGCAAGTCGCAACAATATGAACTAAAATGATATTACTAAGGGTGAGGAAGGGAGAAGGAGGAAAGAGGAAGAAAAATAGAGGTAGAAGGAGGCTATGGTGGAAGAGGAGGAAAAGAAGATGAGAACACTTGGCGGTGGTTGCACAAAGAGCAAAACAGGCTTGTGAGGAGACACGAACCTCAGAAGGAGAACTAGTTCAAGTAATTTTAAAAGAAAAAATGGTTTGATTCGGGTCTTCGAAAAGGGAAAACGGGCCTAGCATTTTTTTTACAGAAAAGGTATAAAACCATACCATACAGCCTGAAATGAGGTAGTCGAAGTCTTAAATCATGCCCGGACAGTCATTATCAATCAAACTGACTAAAATTGAAATAAATGAAAATTGTGTTGTGTCTCAGTTTCTGATGTAATTCATTACTTTCTGAGTTACTTTCTGCCATTTGGTAAAACGTGGGAAAGATACGTTAATTTCTGCCATTTAAATGCATTTTATAAATGTAATGAAATCTTCTAGCTCACCATTTTAGAGAAAGAGTAATGCATAGTTGGTAGAAAATTTCTGCCAAGATTTCTTTCAAGTCGAGTATATCTCAATTAAGACATATTTTTATGATGTTTGATGATATCTATCATTTGTTGTCTATATCTAATTATCTTACACTTTCATTCAGATTTGTCGATGATATTTCTTTAATGTCGAAAACGATAGAAAACCTCACAAGCATGGATAGTTTTAGTATCTGAATAGTGTAAGTTACAAAAACTCCAATGCATTATATTCAAATAGTATCCTTGTCTTTTAATTGTCTTTTGCATGGATTTAAATAGTGTGCTTCTGCTGCGGTACCTTCGACTATGGATTGGTTTCAGACCATACGGTCCGACGCTAGTTTGTTTTGTTTTTTCTATTATCTTTTCAGGTGATATCAGGTATGTCCCAATATATTAGTACCATGCTGGTCTCATAGAATATTGAAACTGATATTAGAGAGAGATTATAGACCTTGTTGTGTATATTTATTTTATTTCAGGAGTAATTCTGATGCATCTTTGATTTGAATTAACATTATTTCTGGTAACGTATGGAATCTTACTTCTAGATGATTGTGTAACTTAGAGAAGGCACTTGGTGGGGATGTTAGGATGTATGATGGAACTACTCTCATTGTCAGTATCTTCAACCAAAT